AAAAAAAAAAAAAAAGAGAACAGAGAAGTACTATATAGGAAAGCTGAGAAATGAATGTCCTCCACCATGAGGAGGAACGAGAGAGCCATCATAGAATTTTGTGTGGGTCCTTGGATGACAAATTGTAGGTTTCACCAGTTTTATCTCCTTGATTCCAAGTAAAAGAAACAAAAATGAGGTTTTCTGTGATCTATGAATCTATCCTCCTTCCTTTTGTCTAAAACTAGATGTATCATAGCTGTGAAGTAATGTTCTTGGCTTTTCCCCTCTATCCAGATTGAGGGGGCAAGAAATGAAGGTGGCAAAGGCGATAGCATATGGGATGTATTTACAGATAACAAAGGTTTGTCTCATCTGGATTCTATTTTAATTTGTTGAAATATGTTAATTTAACTGATAGTTGACATTGAAATGCTTTTCCAGAACGTGTCCTAGACGGATCCTCTGGAGAAGTTGCAGTTGATCATTACCATCGATACAAGGTGTTATTATTGACATAGCTATCGAATTACTATTATATTCTTGTAAAATAAAGTGTTTCTTTGTCTTGCTTGAGATGGATTATCTCCTTGATGCATATGTGTGTACAATTTTACCTTGTTTCCTAGATCCCTAATTACTTGTTTGAACTCTTTGGGTACAGGAAGACATTGAGCTCATGGCCAAGTTGGGTTTTGGTGCTTATAGATTTTCCATATCTTGGTCACGGATATTTCCTGGTACATTTCAATTGGTGGATCATGCTTCACATATTAATACATCTCCAAATTGTGTCGCCACAATTCCAGCTTCCCCCTCGATATGTGCATTTTGTTTATTATTATCATTTATATTCCATGCCTCATCTGAGTTTATAAGTTTACTGTTTCTGCAGATGGCTTAGGGACAGAAATCAATGAGCAAGGAGTTGCTTTCTATAACAACCTTATAGATTTCATGATTGAGAAAGGTGCCACATGATATACCTAATGTCAAAGTTACTATTCATCTAGTTATTCACCACCCATCTGCCCTGACTTCCAGGTATTCAGCCTTATGCAACTCTGTATCACTGGGATCTTCCGCATAATCTTCAGAAGACTATGGGGGGTTGGCTTTCTGACAAGATTGTGTAAGTTAATGCAGGCATCTTAATTTTAAACTCTGAATTTGTAAATATAGTTAAGTGCCAACACAAAATACTACAAGGCATGTTTACCTAAGAACATTGCTTTATTTCAAAGTCTTCTGTCTTTTTTTCCGAGAAGGGGGGAAAGACCCCCAGCAAAGTGTTCTCGTTTAACTTGGTGTTTCTATATCTGATCGTATTGGTTGTCAAAAAATTTCAGAGAGTACTTCGCATTATATGCAGAAGCTTGCTTTGCAAATTTTGGAGATAGAGTTAAGCATTGGATAACAATCAATGAACCTATTCAAACATGCATTAATGCTTATGGGGTTGGAATATTTGCTCCTGGATTATGTAAAGGTGTAGCTGCTGAACCTTTCTTGGCTGGCCATCACCAGATCTTAGCTCATGCTGCTGCTGTTGATGTCTACAGAAGAAAATTCAAGGCCTGTTAAGTTTCCATTGAAGTATCATCATTGTCAGTTTGTTCGTAGTACCATTGTCTTGCTGATATTTTACATATTATAGGCTAAACAAGGTGGTCAAGTAGGATTTGTTATTGATTGTGAATGGGCGGAGCCAAAGTCGGACAAAATGGAAGACCAGGCTGCTGCAGCACGGCGCATTGACTTTCAACTTGGATGGTAAAAATTATGCTCACCTATTCAGGGAATACTTAAAAGTCTCCTAAATTTGTTACCATTTTCCATAGAACCTATATTTTTTGTTTCCGCTCAGTGTAACTTCCGGTGTTTTAGTATAATGCTGATGCATCTTCAGATTCATGAAGCCTATGATATGATTTTATGGATATATCCTGATTATAATTGCTTTTCTTGAAGGTTCCTGGACCCAATATACTTTGGTGATTACCCAGAAAGCATGCGCCAGAGAGTGGGCGAATATCTTCCAAAATTCTCTGAGAAAGACCGTGAATTGATGAGGAACAAAATTGATTTTATTGGATTAAATCACTATACATCAAGAATCATTGGCAATCAGCCGAACCCACAACCACAAGAGATCCATTTTTATCAGGTTCAACAAATAGAGAGAACAGGTACCATGATTCATCTATCAAAGACTTGTCTCTTTTGTTTGTAAAAACAAGCGCAGCGTCAGCTGAAAGATGCAGGGTTATCTATAAAAACTGCAGTATGTAGACAGCAGACATGGCAGAAATATTTCACCTTGCTGATTAGGAAAAACAGCCCTTCTCCACTACCCATAGAGTCTATTTATCTCTTCCTTATTCTTGGAGAATTGTAAATCAATATACGCATGCAAGGCAGAACTACTTTTCTTGCTGTAGTTTGGTCTCAATATTCTGCGCCCACTATATATATGTAAACTTGTCCCTTGCAAGCTATCCTGTCCCAGATTAATATCGTAATGCTGACACTTTATTTCCCTTGGGCAGACAAATGGAGTAGCGGTGAAGCAATTGGTGAAAGAGTAAAGACTTGACCGCTGTCCATTCATGTAGCTTCAACGATCTTACCTAACATTTCATCTCAATATTTGTGCAGGCTGCGTCTGAGTGGCTTTTAATAGTTCCCTGGGGTATTCGGAAAACAATCAATTATATAGTAAAGAAATATGAAAATCCAATAATATATGTAACAGAGAATGGTAAGGCTTCCATGCTTCTAATTTTTTTTCTGGTGCATTTTTTATATTTGAAGTTTCTAATACACACATGGCATATCTGTTTACGTTAGTTGTATCATTTCCTGCATATGTTGGTTGAGTGATTAAATCAAATAGCAATTACTTCACATAATGTAGATTATATGGATTAACTCTGCTTTATTTCCAGTTTAATTTTTTTTCTAGAAATGTTATAGTCTGCAACTTGGAGGTCGTTGTACTGCCTTAGTTGCAGAGATATTTTGTTTTGACCAAACAACCCCGCAGCAAGCTATTTATTCCACCTATGCGTGCTAGTCTAATTATGGAATATGCATAGGGAGCCCTTCTTTATCTTCTCTTGGATACGTATTTTTGTACGAGATACAACTCTAGGAGAATATTACCTCCCCCGCGTCGCTCTCGCCTAGGGCGACTCGGGGGCACCTCCCTAACCCTAGCGCGCCGCAGGCCAATCGCCCCCTAGCCCCGCGCCGCCGCCGGAGGAAGCCGCCGGGTGAAGCTCGTGCGGCTGACGGCGGCAGCGGGGCGACTCCTCGCGGCTCCCGTTGGGACTGGGGCGGCGGATCTCGGCGGGAACCGGCGGTGGCCCGGGCGTGCGCGGCCCATCCGACGGCGTGGTGGGGGGTCTCGGCGGGGGGTTGTAGGTGGTGGCGATCTGGCGCCTCCTCTGTTGGAGGGCCTTGGCTCCCCGGGGCGGCGGCCCCGGCCGATGGGCGCGGTGCAGCCGGCGGGCTGTGCCGGCGGGCTCTGGTGGGCAGCCTCCCACGGCCGCGCGGGCGGCGTGGGGGCTGCGGACGCTGGCGCAGTGGCGGCTCCTCGCAATCCGTCATGGCTCCATGTAGAAAATCCGCCCCTGCTTCGATCTGTCCCGATCCGTGCTGGCGCCGGTCCTTGGCGGCGGCTTTCGGCGTCCCCTATGACCGGCCTCGCAGATCTGGCGTGCGGGTGAGGTTCCGGGGGAAACCCCTCGCTGGCGCGGCAGCCTCCCCAAAGTCGACGCCTTTGGCGCCGATCCCCTTCCTGAAGGCTTTGGGGTGGATCCTCTCCCTTCCGCCTCCTCCTCGAGCTATGGCGAAAGCTTTTGTTCCCCTGGTCTGGGCGTTGACGGCACCCTGGTGTCGTGTTCCTTCTTGAAGGCGGCGGCTGGGAACAGCTCTTGGTGGCGGGGCTGCTGGTGGCGTGGTGGCGGTGCGCTTCGGCCTTCTACTTGGTGCCGCGCCTTGCTTCGCGGGACCAGCGGACGGTTTCTTTGGTGGAGCGGTGCTTCATCCATACATTGATGGCGACGGATCTTGACGGCGTGGCGCAGTGCAGATTCGGAGTTCGATGTGGGAGGATGGACTCGCGCAGGAGGACGACGCTGTCTGGCGTCGTGGTGACGTCGATGGCAGAGAGATCTGGCATGGTAGATGCAACAGTACAGCTCTAAAGATGGACTCGTGGCAGGTGGCTGTGGCGGCCTCATACCCGGCAGGCGTCCTGGTTGAGAAGTGCGCCGGACTGGTAGGTGCCCCATACCAGGCAGGCGTCCTGGTTGGGACCTCAGGTCTTAGATGTTTAGGTTTGGCTGCGATGTCTGTTTGGTATTAGGCCCAGGCTATCAGCGCCCCTTCATCATTTGGATAGGTGTAGCGACAGTTGTTGCTTAGACGGTGGCTTTAGTCTTGCTGTTGTATTACTTTGTAAGGTCTTGTGAGAATAATTAATAAAGTGGCCGTATGCATCGCCCAGATGCAGAGGCCGGGGGTCATCCTCCTTTTCTAAAAAAAAAAACGTATTTTTGTACATAATTTCAAATTCCCGAGTTTGTACTGCCACAGAATATTGACAAAATAGATTGGCAAGATAAACACACTACAAATGAAATAGAATACGACATTAAAGTTTAAATAACTGACAGGTATACATGTAAATGCGATACAGTGACTTTTTAATATGAAAATAAGAATTTGCTATTCCATTACTTGGTATCCAGCTAGCATAGTTTTGTTTGTGTGATGTAATATTAAGTAACCAACCATGTATATGGATGATGCTCTCATGTAGTTTATTTTCTGTAGGCATGGATGACGAAGACGATCCATCAGCACCAGTTGATCAGTTCTTAAATGACACAAAGAGGGTTAATTTCTTCAAAGGATATGTTGGTGCAGTCGCACAAGCAATAAAGTAAGTTTGTTTCTGCTTGCCGCATAACTAGCACCATGCAACTAAAACGACCAAAGCAAGTGATGCCACTAATTTTGTTGACTGTTGGCATTACAGGGATGGCGCCGACGTTCGTGGATACTTTGCATGGTCATTCCTGGATAACTTTGAGTGGGCGATGGGATTCACCAAGAGGTTTGGGATTGTCTATGTTGATTACAAGAACGGGCTCACCCGACACCCTAAAGCATCAGCCATGTGGTTCTCACGCTTCTTGAACGGCGAGACCGCTGACAGCAAACCTGACACAAACTAAGCCCCTCATTCACCAAGGTGCTTAAATTGTACTGGAGCCCTTTCTATCAATGCTATAGTTGATCCAACATTTGTTCGAATGAATGCTTACAGAGTCAACATCCCTACCAGCATGTTCTGGGTTCATGCCAGTTAACGCCGCGCTGCTGATAACTCGCACAATCTAACATGAACCCATGCTATCTCTGCTGCTATATTTTCGTTGATGTTGGTCTAGTGATTCTGCGAGTTATCATTCGTAGACCCCAGTAAGCAGTTACCAAATCGGAAGTCAGTTTCTGTTTGCAACTGACTGATGCAACAAACATTTTGCTGCAGGGATGGCACTGATGTTCGCGGGTAGTTCGGATGGCCATTCCTGGGCAACTTTGAGTGGGCTACATACAGTATACACCACGAGAGGTTTGGTACAAGGATGAGCATTGGGGACATTCCGAAGCACCAGCCCAGTACGTGGCTCTCACACCCGTCGAAGACCAACACGGCGCGAGCTGAGCCATCTCACAGCAAGTAAATGAAACATTATACGAGTTGTTGTTGTTGCTGCTGTTGTTGTATCGTACCACGACTGCCATCTACTCAAAATAATAATCGTAGCCCATCTCAGATACACTTCTATACGGGCCACGATTAGTCCATTGATTGTTCAAATGGATGTTTAAGGGGCCAGAGTTCCCTGCTAATAAATTATACGAGTTCATGTCAGCCAACCCTGTTAGACAACGCTGCCTATGTATGTTTGCTACTCTGCTGCTGCTGTATTAGTCCTGTAATGTCTGGCCTTCATAGCCCCTCCTAGGAAGCAATTGCTAGCCACCAGAAATTTGTTTCTGTTCTGCTGGAGTTCTTCATTAGAGGAACTTGCTTCTGACAGGTTAGACCCACCGAGAACCACTTTGAACTTTGGATGATTGGTGAAGAGCAAAGTGACATGTCACATACAGTAAAATAAAGAGGTGGTTAAAGCATGGATGGGACGGAAGCTATTGGGCCGCTTTCTTCCCTGTTCTGGGGCCGGCCGGCCTATTCTTTCTTGTGGTATGATGTTTTGCATCCAATGTAGTGCAATGCATTCCCTCAAAAAAAAATGTAGTGCAATGCAATGATGGTACCCTGTCGTGGCCGCGATGATCGCTCTCCGGGGCGCGATGCCGTTGGTTGCATTGCATTCATTCCCTCACGGCTTTGGGGTGAGGATCAGGCCGTTGGGAGGTTTTCATCACAGCGTCCCTGTGATTGTGATTGTGATGCTGGTCCTGATGATTGCTAGATACTCTCTTCTTCATCATCATATTCTTGCCTTCGCCTTTGTGCGCCCCCTTCTTTTCCTTGTCTTTCACCCATCGCCGGCGAGCCGGAGGTGGTGGCAACCGAGGGAGAAGGTGAGGTTTGCCGGGGACGGAGACGACGAAGAGTGGCGAGGCGATGGCCGTGACAGGTTCCCCGGAGGTGTAGCTGATACAAAAATATGTTGGCTAACGGGAGCACACCTTCGCTGCCCTCTCTGTAAACGCCCACCAGCAGGCTCAGCCAGACGTGTTCCCCAAATCCCCGTCTCCTGCCTGCACTCTGAAAGCGGCATCGGCAGGACATATTCTTCTCATCAGAACTCAGAAGCATCGAGCCGTTTAGGGGGGCAGCACGTGCCTACAGTGCCTGCCTGCCTACCTTTAAGTAAGGGTAGCTTAGAGACATGGGATACTCATCCTACTTTGCAACTTTACCACGGCTCAACGTTAAAGAAATCATAGGCAAAGCTTTGCACGATTCGCGGCCTCGTGGGGGCATCTGGCGCCTCACGTGAAACAGCACATTTCTTTCGCATACAATGTGCGTGCGTGCTGTGGCTCTGCTCAAGCCCGGTGCTCCTTCCTTGAGATGGGATGCTCGGTGCCATGACCGGGGAAATTCCCGTGCTCCGACCGAACCAGGGGGCGCGCGCGCTAAGGGCATGTACAATGGTTGATAAAACAGTCTTATCTTAAGTCTTGCATGTAATTTAGAGATGACAAAAAAGTATGTCTACAATGGGTTATATCTTAACCTTATCTTCAATAGCTAGTCATTCCTTAAAACATGGTGAGACAAATTGTGCTAAGAGATCATCTCTTGTCTTATCTTAAATAAGAGAAGACAAACCTTTTTTTGTGAGTTCTCTCTCCTCCACCTCATCATTAATCCTACGTGGCACTCCTAAGATAGCACCATTGTACATGCCCTAATGCTCGTGCTCCTACATCGTCGCCACTCCTTCAGTGGTCAGCAACGCCTTGATTTCTAGTGTTCGTCTGGAAGCAACGTAGGTAGGTTAACTGAAGAGTTCACTGCAAAAGCATCAATCAAAGAACCTGAACCTGAAAAGAGCTCTGAGCAGCAGCCAACAGCGCATTCATACTAGGATGAGAGCATCACTGAGAGAGCAGCACGAGTCATCCGCATGTGCGGCGCCTCATGAGCCTATGATTGGGCTGCATGGAACAACACTGGCGGCATTGCAAGGTTTGGGGGCAGCGGTTCAAGTGCCGGCCACTGCATGCAGTTGCCCACTGTGCTGTTGTTGGTCACTCTTCCCAAATCATGCTAACGCCTACGTACCCTTTTACTTGGCCTTGGATAGATAGAATCTTGCTGCCC